CATGCATGGCAATGGATAAGGCACACATGCAAGAAGATGCAGGGGGGGGGGGGGGGGTGCTTTTTATGTTTTTGCTTCTAAATACATGTTGGAGTGATCAGCACAACTACAATGTCCTGTAGTTGTAGGTCTACTATACATGATTGTACAGTAATCATCATACATGTCATGTACATGTCCCTGTAGATGGCTCCAAAACTTGCAAAAGGCTAGTTTTTCATTTCCCTTCCATATCGACTATAGTTCCTTTCAATTGTAATATGAAAATGGGGTACACGTTGGTATAGAGCATGAAAAGAGCTTCATTTTGATATGCGTGTCATACTATACAAACATATGGGTTCACATACATTCAAATGGGACTTCGGGTATAAGGACACTTCGCGAATAAGGACATTTTTCCGATGCCCCGCCGAATGTCGTTATAAGCGAAGTTGACTGTATGCCATTACGTGCATGCCAACGCCCAGTACGCAGGCACATGTCCGGGAAGTCTTTGCTTCTGTAGACAAAGAGGTTCTCCCACAGCTCAATGGGCTTGAGCGCTGCCGAGCAGAAGTGGATGGCGTACATTCGCCCACTCAGCTCTGAGCTTGTCTTGATTGAAGCAGTGAACCTCCCAAGTCATGGTGAAGTGACAGGTCGGGTCAAGGACCATGCCAACTTCGCGGCTTGCCGTCCAGTTGGCTGGGTCCGACCACACCTTGGCAGAAGGCCTGGCGGAGAAAAGATGAGAAGTTTTTATCCAGGTGTTCTCATGCTCGAGTTACGGTTAGCTTCAGGGCTTCGACTGACGGCTGGGCTGATCTCATGCTGGTCATGCTGGTGACACAATTGTACAGTGTCAGCTGAGCTGGCAGACGCTTCATGTGACCAGGCTTGGGTATGGAGAGTCTGTTTTTAGAATTAACTCTACTCCGAAAGTGTACGGTAGGTGATGGGTACTATAATAGTGTCTTGTACCGGTAGGTTGTTCGTTTGTGCCAAGTGAATTCCCACGCATTGCCGCATGCTCAGTCGTTCAACTTAAATGGTACGTACTTACTCGAAGTACTTTTGAATTTAGTGGTCACGCCCATACTAACTGTTAACTTTCGGACCTGACTTGTTTGCAGTGGAGAAATCATTTTTCATGTACATGTCCACTTTGGATTTTTCGATCCGTGCCGGTACTTTGTTCGGGCAGTGTTTTTATCGGGCTGAGTTTGACTTTAACAGACAGAGTCGACAGGATGAAGGGGTATTCATTTCGGGCACATACTTGTTTACGGGCTTTTACGGTAATGTTGTATTGGAGCACCCCATTCACAGCCATTTCTACTCCGGAGTAGATTTTTGACTTTGCTATGCCTCCTTGTACTTCAAGTAAATGCACTGTGTATTTTGATGGGTTTTGTCCTACTTGAACAATGAACATAGTCACGCTTGCCCTCTGAATGCGATGTGTGTTTTGATGGGTGTTGTCCATGATTGTACAGGCTATCCAAGAACGGTACATCAAGCAGAAGCCCTGAGCAAAGCCCAGCCAGTAGATGTTGTGGTAAACCTTGCAGTTCCTTTCAAGACCATCCGCGAGCGGATCGAGGTGAGCTGCGGCGTGTAGATGTAGATACAAGTCACTGCTTACTTGTAGTGTAGTGTATTCAATGCTATTCATCATACAAGAATATTCCCCCAGCCATTGTAGTACTTACTCAGCGAGACTTATTTGTCCCTAAATTGTGCCTAAACTGAGTTGAAGCTAGGAACTTAACAAGAAGATCAACACTCAGTGGTGACTGGGTGTAGGCTCACTCTCTATTGCTACATAATTATACTCAATGTAAGAACATGTACTTACTACTTACCAGTATGAACGGATGAAAACTCACTGAACTGCGCCAAGTTCAGAGGTCTAAGTGTGCATAGCAAGCGTACGGAGTGCATGGAGCATGCACTCCGTATTTACTTTACGCAATCATTGTTCAATGCTCACGTACCTAAAACAGATGTACTAATATTTGGGACAGAGAGAGAAAATGCCCGGGAAATGGCCAAAAGTAGCGAGTTTTCGACTATAAGACTTGCATGTTGTGTATGTGCGAGAATGTAGTTCGGTCCCTTCTAACCGTAGTGTCTGTTATGTTGTCTGTGTGTGTGTGCTGTAGAACCGCTGGGTACATCAAGGCAGTGGTCGCGTGTACCACACTGTCTTCAATCCTCCAAAGAATCCGGTGAGTAGAGGCTGCTTTCTCGTTTGAGTGAAGTGCATGTTCCAGGGGTGTTGGATATTGGTTTGGGAGGGGTGAGGGGTTGCAGGAGCATTTTTTCAATTACTGTGTAGCAGGAAATTTTCGGACGGAAATATTTTCGGACAAAGCCGAATTTCGACATTTCGTACGGATTTTATTTTCGTACAGTGGTGCATGCTAAATGCACTTGTTTGCTTGCGGTACGCATGTATAGTGTACATAACTTCACAGGAACAATTTTAGTACGGAATTAATTTTAGTACAAAAGTACGAAATCGTACGAAAATAAATTCCGTCCGAAAATTTCCTGCTTTACAGTATGCTAAATGATTTCTGATGATAATCACATGAAAACGACGTTCAAATCTCAAAATATTGTCCCCTTGTTCTCGTGGTACGAGTGCGCTCACTTTACTTTCATCGATATTAGTTATGCTATTGTCCTGATGACTTTCTGATCACTGTTTTTAATCCTTGGACTCTTTTTTTGATGGTGTTGTTGTTGTTGTTTTGGGCAAACGGGCATGTACTGTTAGTGATCAATTGGGAGATGGGAAGGGGAAAGAAGAGGAATGAACCAGCTACCGAGGAAAGCGATAGGGGAGCAGGGATGCACTAGTACTTACTTGTAAGAAAGAGCCCACATACGGTAATGTGAAAGTATGCACTGCACAGTGTAGACTCATGGTGTTATGTAGAAGCATACCTTGAATAGGAGCATGGGTGGAACCCCGGCTTATACGGCCGTAAGTAGCTGCTTTTATCCGTGACATTATGGTTACCGGGTATGAATGGCTGTGCGAGTGCAGTGTGTAGATGGTTTTGTTGTGTGATCACCTTGGTTTTGCTCTGTTGCTCTCTATTTTTGTCTATAGGGTGTTGATGATGAGACGGGTGAGCCTCTGATCCAGCGTGAAGATGATAAAGTAAGCAGTATTGTGTGTGTGTGTGTGGGTGTGTGTGTGTGCTTGTGCGTGCGTGTGTATGTGTGTGTGTGTATGTGCATGCGCATGTATGTGCGAGCATGTAAGTAGTAGCACATCTAGAGTCTTGAGGAGTGTGTGTGGGGGGGGGGATTGACCATGAGCACACAAGTTGATAACTGATCACTGCAGTACATTCGTTCACAAGTCAGCGCCGGTATACTTCGTTTTTGTTTTCAATCTAAAACCAACGTATCATGCAGACCAAGTTGCCCTTCTTTTAGAACCATACTGGCTTAGAAATACCGTTATCTCCGGAGCATAATGCCCATCTGCTATTTAAATCAATATTGGAACTGTTTAGTTGTCTTTTCTAAGCACTCGCAGACTCCATTGCAGCCATTCACACATTATAGGGTACCTCACTTCAAACTCTCCAACTACGGTCTCTTCGCTGCATACGTTCACTTCACTTCCAAAAAAAACAAATAATATTAGATATAAATGGAATGCACCAAATTTTCGGGCATGGCCCATCTTCAGGGTGAAAAAAAACCATTCAACCATTCAATTCAACGTTTAGTTGTCGGTATTGTAAATGATGCCGTGCATTTCGTGACGTACCGGTTTGTCTTTTGTGTTTCACCAGCCCCACTCGGTGTCAGCAAGACTTGATATCTACCAGAAGCAAACAGAGCCGCTTCTTGAGTTTTATCGGTAAGTGTAACTTATATGCATTATGGGTCGGTCAGTTTTCTTTCTCTTGGCCTGGCTCTGTAGAATTTATTAGAATTTGGACCATTGCTTATGAACTGCTTACTGTAAGGGTATTGCATGTTGAAACGCTGCCAAGTTAGTTTTGTAACAGGGAGTGGTTGAGAAGGGAGGGGTGGGGAGGGGGGGGGGGTGGTGGTGTTTGTCATTTGATCCTTCCTGACTGTGTGCATGTTTTGTCGCTGGTGCTGATGTGCTCACAGGAAAGAAGGAAAGTTAGCCGAGTTTGCTGGTACCGAATCGAAGGTGATCTATCCTGAGGTGAAGTCGCACCTTGCTGCTCTGTTTTCTACTGTTGCTTGATAGCATGTGATGCTGCTTGATAGCATGTGATGCTTGTGACCATGGCGGGTGGTGTATTTTTGTACTTGAGATAATAGTGATGGTGATAATAGACTTGCCATGGTGTTTTTGGCTACTCTATATGCTGGTGTAACACCTAGTACTGCTAAGCCAAGGTAGCTGCAGCACTGCGAATAGCATCAGGCTGGCAATAGTGTGCAGTCAACGGCTATCTTTGTGATCTTTGTGCGTGGCGCTAGTGTCTGCAAACAAAGAGTGTTGTCTGTGTAGATTAGTGTATTGATCAGTGCTTAATACTTTGTCATAGGTGACCATGAAGACATTTTTATTCCGTACTATTGCTAAGATACTTTTATAGTGATTTCCTACTCTCTTTTTTTAGACATATTAATATTAAAAGCAGTTTTTTAAGGATCCCTTGGGTAGATTTGTTTTTCGTGAGTTTTTTCCGTGGACTTTCATTTTCATACTATAAGCAGGATTATTATTATTGAAGAATCGTTCAAACGGCCTGCTGGCGTATATCGGGTCCTGTTTGAGTTTGTTGAAGTGTTGTTGTTGTTTCTTTATTTTACTTCACCATATTAACAGGCAAGACTGCCTTCTCACCGGGGCTATTGGCCCACGGCTCTCACAATATGATGAAAATGTTTAAAATTTGTATGAAACATTTTCATCATATTGTGAAAGCCGTGGGCCAATAGCCCCGGTGAGAAGGCAGTCTTGCCTGTTAATATGGTGAAGTAAAATAAAGAAACAACAACAACAACACTTCAACAAACTCAAGTGTAGCCAACTCTCCTCGTTACCCCTGAGGCTGTGCGTTGTGGGTGTACATGAATGCATCACGAATGAGTGGGCGTATGTAGTACTGTGTGTTTCGCTTCCGATGGTCAGGACTGTACGCCCTGATAGTTTCCATGTGCCTGTACATGTGAATGTCCCTGCATATACTAGTAGTGTGATTTGTAGAGGGATGTGTGATGAAACCCAATCCAGTGAATAAGTTAGCACCAACCAATCCATGCAGGGAGTTGTATACCACTTTCAGGTGCCAGGCCAGGTTGGTTCGAAACCCTAGCACACTGGAGCAGAGCTGCAGTGACTTACCGTGGGACTCGCTTGGTCACATTGCATCAAGCTGGATTATAAAGTGGTGAAGATGACTCGTCTAGCGCTTTTAAAATAATCATCACTATCTGCGCTTTTCCCTTGTTCCGCTTCTCCAACGTGCAACTAGGTGCACACGCTGCAGCTGGAGACGGCAATGAAATGTACAGTTGCTCTCACTGAAATCCAACCCGAAGTGCAAAACTGGCACCCTGCACCAGTTCCGATTACATCACTGGACATGTACATGTGTGTGTGTGTCTAGCCGCATCAGTACCACTTCCCGGCCTTCAAGGGCCGTGCGAGTTCAGGGTGCCAGATACGCACTTTGTGTCGGATTTCACCCAGCACAGCTGTACTTGGCTACAGGTGCCACCAAGAGTACATAACCCAAGAGTGTGCAACTCCAGCTATGGGGTCTGCGACGGCAGAACTTCACATCACGTGATGAACCCGTGCACTCTAGTGCATGATAGATACTGGGTTGTACGCAGCCCAGCTTTGGGTACAACTCTCTTGTGGTCACTTTGCACTGTTTGCCAGCATAACCTTTTGAACCATGTCACGTGATGTGAAGTTCTGCCGTCGCAGCACAGCATAGAGGTTGTGCAGGCAGTTGCACACTCTTGGTTATGTACTCTTGGTGCCACCAAGAGTACATAACCCCCCAGAGTGTGCAACTCCCACATACCCTGCTGTCCCGTCAGAATTTCAAGTTGACGTCATTATTTTAATTTATTTATGACGCAATGCTCCTTGCCCCAGTGATTTACAACATGTGTACGGGTGTCAACGCATCACACGTTTTTCTTTCCAATAATTTGTACAGGATCGATCGGCTTCGGTCAACCACAGGTTCCGGATTCGTCTGATAATCCGTGTACTGTGCGCATTGCATCATCAAAATGACGTCAACTTGAAATTCTGTCGGGACAGCACCCATAGTGGAGTTGCACACTCTGGGGGGTTATGTACTCTTGGTGCCACTCACAGGCACTATTGAACTGTCTACAATTCACTGGTGTTTTCTTTCTCACGGTGCGGCGTGAACTGGTGCAGCCTGATGACTACCTATGATGTGTGTACTGCTAAGATAATGGTCAGTTGTAAACTGCTGTTGGTCTCAATATGTCACCACAATGCGGCACGGATCAGGCTATAAAACAATTTGCGAGCAGCTTTCTCGTTTCCTGAAAATGTGATGGTGTATTTAAAACTATTCATAAGTTGAGAGAATGGAAAAAGGAAAAAAGTCGCGTATTCAACTACTTCGGAGTACATGTAGCAGTAGTTTGATGAGTTGTTGTTGTTACACACTGCACTGTACACTACACTGTACTTGCTGTGTTCATCTTGGCAGGACTCAGGGTACTGCGTTTCAGTGTGCACAGTCCGTTGTGGATCATTGATACTTCACTGAGGGATTGCGGTCAGTGACTGCTATGCTACAGTGCTGGAACTCTGCATGCAGTGTGCCTCCGTGCAGGCTAGGCGTGGACGATCACTGTCAAGCTTTGCATGGCTGTGGTCTGGGGCTCCAAGTGAAGGTATGTTGTATCGTTGCTTCTACTACTCATGATCCACATAGTCCACATAGTCCACATAGTACATGCACTCCGAGGATACTGTACAGCTGAGAAAGCATCATTCTGCTTGTGGTAGACTGTTCGCTATGTTTTCCATTTTCACCCGTCCCTCAGCTATTGAATGTTCACTGTGTACTAGGGATGGTGGTGACCAGTAGATCTACTAATGATCAGCAAATCTGGACAGGTCATGCACAGCACGTGCATGTGGACTAAGCAGTAAACATCACCAGGCATTGACCCTGGGACAGATGAACTCTTCTGCACCTATCTTCCACAGTATGATATGCCATCAGTTTGGTTCAATTATCATACCATGGCATTGCAGTGTTTGTGTGCATACTGACTGTGTAGGTCAAAAGCAGGCTTGAATGCCTGTACTAGTACTACTACTAGGCTGTAGACAGTAGTCATACCGTACAGCTAGTTAGACACACTACAATGTATGTGGCCCACAACCGATCAGCATGCAATCTCATTGGCACCTCCTGCCCCGAGGGGAGCACACACAGCAGCAGTTCATGACACGTGTCACTGTCAGTGGAGTCTCCGGCTTCACTTGACTGGGCTACC